GCCTCTGACTCTTGGTTTCAGCTCAGGTCATGATCTCACGGCTTTGTAACTGGCTCTGTGCTGGTAGTACAGAGCCTTCTTGGGATTCTCTTTTTCCCTCTCTTTCTTCCCCTCCCCCACTTGCACTGACTCTGCCTCTCTCAAAATAAATAAACAAACTTTAAGAAGAAAAGAAATCTCCTACAACTAATATAGGGGTCAGGAATAATGTGAACAACATATAAAAATCAGTACTCCTGTGCCCCAAAGTAACTGAAGTATATAAATTTAAAATGCCCCCATTCATAATAGTATCAAAAGTCTTAAGTCACTTAGCAAAATAATAAAAAAAACATATGCAAAGTCAGTATGATGAAAGTAATAAAATATTTTGAGATATTATATAAAAGTCATGAATATATGGAGATATAATCTATAATAAGAAACACACACATACAGTTGTCTTTTGGGAGAAAACATGATGAGATAACTTTATCATGTCAGAGTAGAATATGATTCCTTAAGTAGAACATTGAACAGGAAAGGTACAAAATCTGAGATTGCAGATGAATATGTTTGACTACATTAAAAAATAAAACTGCTGTTTCTGCTTAAATTTTCAATGATAAGAGAGTATAATGGATAAATTACAAAACATTCATTTGAACAGGGTACCGTATATCAGTTAAAATGAATATTAGTGGATTTATACCTACACCATCAACAATCTATGAAACACGCTATTGGATAAAACATTTTAGAATGATCCGAACATTTTGATGCTGTTTATGTTATTTCTAATATAAACCTTCAATGTCCTTAGGCAAAGATTCACATCCATTTTTGGTTGGCTTCTGGGAATGGGAGGAGCAGGTTGAGGGAGCAGGTGAAGATCGACAATGGGAAACAATTATCTGACATGTTTTACTTTTAAAAAAAGGAAGAATAATACATAAATTGGAAAGAAAAGTGACAGTACGTTGACAAGACTTCATGGGTGTGGGTGCATGGGGATTAGTTACGTTACTCTATGTAAGTTTTTTTCATTCTTAGAATATTTAGTAATATGACATGAAAAAATTATCCTAGGCATAAAAAATGGAGTATACCAAAATAATGGCATCAAAATAATCCTGTTGCCAGAACCTCAAAATAATATAAAAAGGTTAAATAGATAACACATGTAACACATGGGCATCTATGCAAAAACGTCTTCAAGTGTTAGCAAATACCATACAAATGTATATTAAAGGACAATTACAGTTCAGTTAAAAAGAGGTTTCTTCCAGAAATACAAGTTTACTTCAATATTAGGAAATTATAAATATAACACACCGTGTTGAGGTTGTAAAATGAAAAGGAAAAAAAACCTTCCTTGTTTTTAAAAGATAGTAAACCCTCCTCCTTTCCTGATTTCAAAAATAACAAGAAATAAACCCTTGTTGAAATTGGTGTAAGTATTCTTATTTCAAAAATATTTTCCTTTTTCAAATGTTTTCATGGAGGATTCCTGAAATATTTTTAAAATATTAAGAATAATAAGATGAATGCCTGTATGTCAACTTTCTAGTTTAAAAATGATTTATTATATGTGTATTCTTAATGTGAAATGATTTATATAGCTCAGACTAAAGGTCGGCATCATGCTTGATGATAGAAAAATAGAAGCATTTTCATTAATTTCAGGAGTGAGACCATGATGTCCCTTTCAACAGTTTTATTTAAAATTGTTTAGTTAGTAATAATAAAAGTAAGTACACATATTAGAAGGTTATAGATATTAGACAAGAGGAAACAGAAGCAGGTCATTTGTAGACTGTGTGACTATATTCTTATAACTCCCACCCCCCAAAAAAAATGAAATGAAAAGCTATTTGAAATAGTATGAAAATTTAGTCATGTTACTAATTTAAAAATTGGTATGTACAAATTATTAGCTTTTAAAGCAAATAATTCTCTTCTTGAAACATATAATAGAATACATGATTAAATTCAGAATAGCCACCAAAATATAAGAAGGAAATCTATATTATCTGCAAAAATAAAACTCTAGCATGGTAGAAAATGTTTTCAGTAATTAGTGAAACAATACTGCTTTGGGAGTGGAAGATTTAATATTTAAAATGCAATAATTTGCCTCTTCTAAGTTGATATGTTACGAGAGTGACTTTTTCTATGAAATGGTCACAAACTCAGAGGCCGATAGAAACTGGGCAGGTATAGCACAGTTCTAGCCCATCATTTCCTTGTGACCAGCCAGCCTCCAGATTAGAAAATTTCAAGATTTTTAAAGAGACTTCGGCTATCTGAAGTTTTCATCTGGCATATTTGGATTTTTAAACATTGGCAGCCAGTTTCAAAAGTCGTCACACTCTATAGTTCAAGTAAACCTTACTGTTGGCAAAATTTGGTCTACGGCCGGACTCTGTGAGACCTTGGGTTTTTCCATACTGCTTTACTAAATTCTGGTAAATCTAGGAGCAAAACACTGACTGTGGTTGACAGGGTCACGGGATTTCCAGGTATGGGGCTACTGTATTGTCCATTTCGGAGTGCGACTGGCCAACTTATCTCTATACCTTCCTCATTTTACTTTCGGTTCTAAAACTGTGTTAATTGCGTGCGTGCATGTGTGTGTGCGCGTGTGTGCGCACGCGCACGCGTGTGTCCCTGTCTGTAACTGTTCTTCAAAGCTACCATGGACAGAGTGTGCTGGATTTAATTTCCTTAAGTCAATGAGAAGGATTTTAAAATGACTCCCATCCTGATTTTCCAAGCAGTGATTTTTGTCTTGTCCTCCAATCAGGTATTTTTGGTCGCCGTCTGGAATTTTGAACTGTACATGATCCCCCTGGCCTTATTACTCCTCTTCATCTACAATTTCATCATTCTCCCAAAAGGGAAGACAGGCAGCATCCAGGACAGCCAGGTGAGCAGAGATTCCAGTAACTGTGACATTTGTCTAGAGAAAGGCGTGTGAACGACAGCAAACCACCACCACCAAATCATGGCCCAAGTGCTCTTGGTTTGAGAGACGAGGAGAAACTTGGCACACACGTTCACGCTCTAGTGGAGGACTTTTATTGGGTGTAACCTGGAGCGTTTCTTCTAGGCTATGTTCCTGAGTCTTGACCTACCTTCTTAGCATGAGGAGGGCCCCCGGGTGCTTGGTCATCATTACCATGCCGGCCGCGGATTTCAACGTGTGCCCATCTGGTTCATTGCAAGGTTACTGTGAATTACCTTCCCATCCACTGAAAAGACGCCTTTGATGTCTCCTTGAGCTCCTTCAAGACACAGAATGCATTTGGGAGGCTGACTCAGGCCTTTCCACCCTAACACCCTTTGCAGTTTTTGTCTCTGGCTGAAGCCTTCAGAGCTTTGCCAACTGCCGGGGAAATCAGAGGGCAAGTGGCCGTGGGCACCTCTATTTTGCGGTGTCCAGGTCTTATAAATCTCAAGCTTCCCATGGTGTTGAAGGAAGCACCCGCAAGGCTTCTTCTCAAAGACCTACCCCAGCGTCTGCTTGTCATACTTATTCTCTGACTCGCCTTCCCTTATTCCACGTATCCCGGCCCAAAGAATCTTTTCCTGCTCTGGGTTGGCAGGAACTTGTATTTATAGACTTGCTTTCTGGTATTATCTTGGCATCCCAGATTCAAGAACCAAATTTTTAAAACAAATCTAAGAGGGACGCCTGGGTAGCTCATTCAGCTAAGCGTCCGACTTCAGCTCAGGTCATGATCTCACGGTCCATGAGTTCGAGCCCCGCGTCAGGCTCTCTGCTGACAGCTCAGAACCATGACCTCGCTTCAGATTCTGTGTCCCCCTCTCTCTCTGCCCCATCCCCTGCTTTCACTCTGCCTCCCTCTTTCTCTCTCTCAAAAATAAACATTAAAAAAATAAACAGAAATCTAAGATTCTGAGACATGTTAATAAAATATCTTCACATTGGGTTTTTCCAGACTCAAAAGCTGACCAACTTCACCCACTTTTCCTCACAATGCTATTATTTTTTTTAAATCTCTGAAATAATGGATATTAAAAGGATGTTTTGCTGTCATTTGGGATAGAAGGGAAGTAGAGAACAGAGTGTTTAGGCAGGGAGCAGAAACATCAAGCAAATTCAGAATTCTATTCTGTTTGATATTTGATTGTTTAATGCAATAGCCATGGGCATATATCAATAATGAGGGGCCTAAAGATGCTAGAAAAAACTAATAAGTAAATAGCTTTAAAGTACAGGATTGCTTAAGGACTAAGCTTCACAGAGGTGCAGATGAAGGGAATTTTCAGAGAAACATCTTTAGTAAAAAGTGCTGTCAACTAACATTTTTACAATTTCTTTTTTATTTAATTAAATTAAATTAAACAATTAATTTTTTAAGGTTTATTCATTTTTTATACTTCCAGAAGTGTTCTTTTTTTTAAATTTACATCCAAGTTAGTTAGCATATAACACTTTTACAATTTCTGATCATGTTTACTTTTCAGCTACATCTATGGTATGTGTGTTTATAGCGTGTGTGTGTGTGTGTGTGTGTGTGTGCATGCAGAAATGTGTATGTATTCGTAGGCAGGTGTCTATGCACGTACATATGGGTACATAAGTATACATAAGTGCATGTGCATATAAATGTGTGTGTATATAAAATCTTTTTAATTTACAGAACATTTTCAAATTTGTTACCTATTTTTTTAAGTTTATTTTGAGAGAGAAAGTACGTGTGTGTGTGCGTGTGTGTGTGTGTGTGTGTGTGTGAGCGGGGAAGGGGAAGGGGAAGGCAAGAGAAGGGAAGAGAGAATCCCAAGCATGTTCCGTGCTGTCAGCACAGAGCCCGACATGGGGCGCGACCTCACGAACCGTGGGATCATAACCTGAGCTGAAATCAAGAGCTGGACGCTTAACCGACCGCACCACCCAGGCACTCCAAATTTGTTGCCTATTTAAATCTTGATAACATAACCACGGAGGAGGCAAGGATTACTATTTTTACTTTATACTTGATGGAACTAAACCCCAGAGTGGCAAAGTGATTTGCTCAAGGTCACATGGCAGAAAGTGCTGGAACAGTGTCTTAAGCTGAAGACTTTGTCCCAGGCTGAAGACTTCTAACTCCTAATCACAATGTTTTTCCTCCCACAATGTGTTTTTATTGCATGTGTTTTTACCCATTTGCTTTCACGAAATGTGTACCACCGACGGTGAACAGGTGAGTTCTCCAGCCATCAGCGGACTGTCACACATTGCGAGCTGCCGCTCAGGGGAATTCTGGGGGTAATACAGTACCAGTCCTGGAGAAATTGCCTGGTAACTGCTCAGCGGTTTTATGGCGGCTAGCAGAGGACTCTGGATACTTCAGAGTTACTCTTTTTTTTTTTAAGAACGTGAGAGTGACAATTCTGGTTCCTACTGGAACAGTGGCGTCTAAACAGCACGCCTGACCTTTGCAAGGTGGTTGAGCAGAAAGGTAAGCGTTCAAGCTCAAAAGCCACCCTGGTTTTCTACTCCCCAGCATTTTGTCTGAGCTGCCGAACCCGCTGGACTGGGTACCAACATGTGTTGGCTTTTAAATATTGCAGTGTTGGGATTACAACTTACCTACTAAATAGCCAAGATTTTTTTTTTAGGTTTATTTATTTTGAGAGAGAGAGAACGAGCACGCGAGAGAGAGGGAGGAGAGGGAATCCCAGGGAAGCTCCACACCATCAGTGCAGAGGCCCACGTGAGGCTCAAACTCCAGAACCTTGAGATCATGACCTGAGCCGAAATCAAGAGTTGGACTCTTGACCAACTTAAGCCACCCAGGCGCCCCAAGCCGAGATGGCTAGACCAATCTGAACAAGCCTGTTCCCGGCACCTGGTGCTTTGGCCCCCAAACAAAAGCCAGGTGCCTGTTAGTCCCAGTCAGAGCCTAAGTATCCTCCCCTCACCTGCCCTCAACCCCCCTCCCCAGATCACAAGGAAAACAATAATAATGCACAGAAACCTGTAACTTATTCTTGAGATTGATTATATTCAGACTAATGCATTTCCTACTGTCTAATGTTTCAGTAATGGCCCCAAAGGAAAAGAGCAGTCATTATAACAATGAGCCTAGCACAAACCGAGTACGGTGTTCTCAGCCTTAACGTAGCAGTTGGCTCATTTGTCAGAATAAGAACCAACTGTTTACAGAAAGTACAGCTTGGCAATGCAGTTTGAAAGCTGGGTGCCTTCAAAGGGCACTCGCCTAATAGCTTTATTTATAGTTAAGTTTTACGTAGATTATGCATCCTGTTTTATAGTCTTGCCACAGTGTCCCTGAACTTTCAAACCACTATTTTTTCCAAGAGGTTATAACGTATTCAAAAAAAAAAAAAAAAAAAAAAAAAAAAAAAAAAAACACTAGCGCGTCAATTATGTAGAAAACCTTACAAAGTGTGTACGGGTTTAATTTGCATTTGATCGTTTCAGCGGATGTCATATTAACAAATTGTGGTTTTTTTCCTTTCAGGAGAGCACAGACGTAGACGAAGAGGAGTATGACGATGACAAGGTACGTGTGCTCAGGAAAGCTCGCGAAAGGAAACGTTCGTGTCGTCCGCAGATGGCATTTTACCTGGTTGAGTGAAACCCTGTTTGAAAAATTTATTTATTTGTTTGTTTGTTTGTTTGTTGGCATTATGGAGTGTCCGGGATAGGAATATTTTTGTAATTTATAAAGGATATCGGTTTTTAAAGATCTTAGTAAGGGAGGATATAAAAGGGGTAAAATATAAGGGAAAACGGAGATATTATACAAAGCGTACCTATAGGAGGCTTGTCATTTGATGCGAGCGAAGGGGAGCCTTCCCCTGGTGTATAAAAGGTACATGAAAGGTAGTCTAGAAAGCCCAAAGTAAATCAAGTGAAACTGCTGTTCCTTTAGCCTCCTGTCTGTGCTCCGTGGGGTGGTCACCCACTTGGGAGCCTGTCACTTTTCCAGCTATTGCTGGCAGTGTTTTCAGCTGTATGTCGGTGTACATCTGTCCTTTTCCTTCTCCTGGGAGAATCTCTCAAATCGGCTGCTTTTGTTGTCATTATGCTTTCAGACAAACCTTCTGGAATATAATGAAAAAAAAAAAAAAGTGAAATGCCAAATGAGATGCGACCGGCTTAATCGACTTCCAGCCCCCTAGAACCTGTGGGTGTATGGGGTTTGCGAGGGGAGCGCCTGGGAGGCTTGCGGGAGGGGGGAAGGGGGCAAACGGGGGAATCTTAAGAGTTAAGTATCCAGTATAAAATGCCCAGAAGATAGCAGCGAATTAAACCCTGGCTCCGTGACACAAACAGCCTTAAAATTAATTGGGCAAGCCAGATGGTTTTGCCCATTTGAAACAACTTGGGTGGATTACAAAGCAAATCTTGTTTGTTGTGCTAAAATGATCGCTAATAGCAAAATGATAAAATACAGTAGAATGTGTTTTAAACGGAAGTGACTCTTTCCAGAACAGGGTCACGCAGACGCAACTTTCTTCTCGACGGATTGATGTGAGTTGCTTCCGACTGATGTGACTCCTTGAGCGCGAAAAAGTTGTAGCCAGGCTAACATGCGTGCTGGTGGGATGTTTCGTCAAAATAAACACAAGCACTAATGAAATTGTTTTAAACCTTTACTAAGCAGAATTCTAAAATTTGATTTAGCAAGGCTGGGAAGTGGGGAAGATGTCCTTCTGTTTGGCTCTGTTGAAATGAGCCCTCCGTAGAAGAGGGAGTCATCTGCCCTTTAGAGATAATCGTGATCAATGAAAGGGGCGCCTGGGTGGCGCAGTCGGTTAAGCGTCCGACTTCAGCCAGGTCACGATCTCGCGGTCCGTGAGTTCGAGCCCCGCGTCGGGCTCTGGGCTGATGGCTCAGAGCCTGGAGCCTGTTTCCGATTCTGTGTCTCCCTCTCTCTCTGCCCCTCCCCCGTTCATGCTCTGTCTCTCTCTGTCCCAAAAATAAATAAATGTTGAAAAAAAAAAAAATTAGAGATAATCGTGACCATGTGTCTGTGGCCCATCTGCGGAGGGCATCCAACAAGAAGACAATGAATGAGAAAGTGGAGTTCAGTAAACTGGCAGGCAACATATCCAGGCCGTGGGGTCTAGACCAGTGGTTGTCACAATGCGCCCGTCTACTCAGGTGCCCCAAGGATTGTCTGCGGGGGTCTGGGAGTCTGGAGGTAGAGCCAGTTGGGCTGTCCTTGAGGCCTTTCTGGGCAAGGACAACTGAGGTGGAACCATTGCATCTACATGGAAGAGCCTTGGAGCTCTTGCATTTACCCAGGCATGGCCCTCCCCACGGCAGATGGGCCAAACCCGATCCGCACAGAGGGTGTTGGCATCACAACGTTCCCCATTTCCTTCGGGGCGAGTCTGTTCTGGAGATACGTGGATTGTCGTATTTTCACAGGACCTTTAAGAGCCATAGCACGGCCATGCGTGTTTGCTTCCTCAATTTTATATGTCTATGATATCATCCAGAGAAATAAATCTAAAATGAAGTTTTGACTTCTCTCTATGCCTCCGTCTGCTTAACACAACCCTTCACCTGTTAGGGAGACTGGCGAGCTTTGCGGTCCTTATCAGTATCTTTCCACTCGCACTTTGCTACGAGAGCTGTAAAGTACGGAGGGATTTTCAGCTTCAAGACTTCTGGAGCCCGCATCATCCACATATATTACAGTCCATCATTTCTTTGCATACATCAAGCTTCCACAACTGAGATGTCCTCCTCAGAGACCTGCCCACACAGGCACCGGGCTGTTGCCCTCCACAGTGTGCTGTTTCCAGGGGCTTGTCCACAGAGCCCTTCTGGCTTCTGTTGCATGTTAGACGTGACAGACCAGGCTTCTGGGAACTGTAACACACCCAGTGAGCGATGAGCTGTTTACAAATTATAAACACACAGCCGTTTCCTTCCAAACCAGAAGAACAGAGGAAACTCCTTTCTATCCAAACTATCCATCTTGAAAGTGACACTCCTTAATTGCCAGCGCCCCTTCCCACCAAATACCATCACAGGCGACTGTGGAAGATGAAAGCACGTCAGGGCCCCTCGGCAGAGTTTCCTCAGGAGATGGGCACATTCCCGTCTTCTGCCTGTCTCTGATGCACCGACCAGGACGTGGTCTGGGGTCTGTCATACGTTTATTGTCTGGAGGGGGGATTGTTGTAAAATGACATCACTATAGCTTCTTGTTCCTTCTAGTTGTCAGACGTCCGTGGGGGTGACCCGTATTAGAAGCCAAATGAGACTGCACGATTTTGTCTCCCTTTGTGTGGGGGGGAGGAGGGGGGGGCTTTCAGAAATAACCTAGAACCTTCAGGTGACTAGTTTTTTGGCTTTTAGGAAACCAAAGGTACAGACTAAACTTTGAAGAGAGGAAATCTTTCTCTCTTATTCCTGATGGCCCACGCGAGAAATTGCTTGTTACAAGTATAGTTTGCTGGGGACCCCTGAACAAACAGAGAATGGCTAAGTTCAGCCAACAGCAATCAGCTGACATTTCCGATTTCTATTAGATTCCATATGTGGAATTCTTCTATGTGGACCTTATTTGTACGGATGGATTACAATGAAAATTGCATTAATTTTCTGCACAGTAAAGGTCAGTAATTGAAGCATGAACCAAGAAACTATTGTGTAAAATGCTGTATCCCATACTTAGGAAAGGTCACGCAAAGCAATAATATCTTGTTTTCATTGCGGAAGGTATAAATACTTGCATTAGAGTTTCTTTCTTTTTCCAGCCCAACAAATGCTTACATAGAATATTCAGCAGTTACTATTAACATCGGCAAGAAGAAATCATAAGGGCATGTAACAATAAGAAAACCCAAAAACACAAAAAACAAAAAAAAAAAAACAACCAAAACCCTATCTGTTGCTATCATAAAGAATCTGTGCTGTGATGTCTGCACTGTGAGTTGGTGTGCTTTTAACTCAGCTGTCAGAAATAGGACTTGAATGATTTGTTCTAGAATTATCGATGAGTGAACAATTGTCTTACAGTGTTTGGCGGGGGGGGGGGGGGGGGACGGGACGTCGCTGTTGCGTGTTGTAACGGGTGAAAAACAGATATGGATGTTTTTAAGAAAATAAACATCTGGGGGCACCTGGGTGGCTCAGTCGGTTAAGTGTCTAACTTCAGCTCAGGTCATGATCTCACAGCTCATGAGTTCAAGCCCCACATCGGGCTCTGTGCTGACAAGCTCAGAGCCTGGAGCCTGCTTCCGATTCTGTGTCTCCCTGTCTCCCTCCTGCTCACACTCTGTCTCTGTCTCTCTCAAAAATAAACATTAAAAAACTTTTTTCAAAAAAAATATAACTATAGGGGTGCCTGGGTGGTCAGTCGGTTGAGTGTCCAACTCTTGATTTCGGCTCAGGTCATGATCCCAGGGTCATGGAATTGAGCCCTGCATTGGGCTCCACATGACCATGGAACCAGCTTGGGAGTCTCTCTCCCTCTGCCCCTCTCCCCTGCTCTCTCTCTCTCTCTCTCTCTCTCCCTCTCTCTCTAAAATAAAAATAAAATTAAAAAAACTAAAAAGTAAACATCTAATACATTTTTATGGATCCGTTGTGGACCATTTTACCATGTAAGGATGCAAATGAATATGATATCTCTACCCTCTCTTCACAAACTAGGATGTCGTCATTAAAATTTAAGTCCATTTTAAACCATCAGTTTCGGTGTTTAACGTGGTTTCCATTCTTCAAACTGATTAGTCCACTCATCCCAGGCAGAGCCTTCTTTTTATTATTATTATTTTTTTTTAATGTGTATTTATTTTTGAGAGAGAGAGAGACAGAGTGTGAGCAGGGAAGGGGCAGAGAGGGAAGGAGACACAGAATCAGAAGCAGGCTCCAGGCTCCCCGCTGTCAGCACAGAGCCCAATGCGGGGCTCGAACTCAGAAGCTGTGACATCATGACCTGAGCCCAAGTCGGACACTTAACCAACTGAGCCACCCAGGCGCCCCCCAGGCAGAACCTTCTTAAGTAGAGAAGCATGTGGCATACATATTTCACAGGAGTTCTTGCTGGCATTGAACCTGCACAGTCCTTCGGATGAGTGGGCTAGGCCCACTATGCCCCATTCATTATGTTTTCTTATTCTAGACAGAAAAAAAAAGATCTATCTCATCCCAACTATAGTACTTCCTAAAGGGGAGACCGTCATGCTTGGAGGAAGTTTATTTTACAATCTCACAGCGAGAGTAGTTTCACTTGGGATTCCTTTGCGCCTTCTTATGAATGCTCCAAACACATTACATTAGTTTGATTAGTGATTTTTTTTTATCCTAGTGACAGAACAGTGGTACTTTGAAATGATAAAGTATGGCATTTTTAAGAAAACCCAAAGTCAGACAGTATCTTTGAAAGGTTAGCAACAGTTTAATACACACACATACCCACACTTTCAGGGCATATGCGATTTATACGCGGGGCAAATTGCAGAGGACCTGTTTAAGGATGATTTTCAGGGAAATAAAGTCAATGGTTGCTCTAATTTAACTCCTTTTAATTTGATC